TGAATGAAGACTGAGTCCAAACCATAGAGCATCTCATATTATATTAAAAGTGTCAATTCAAAACATTCATAAGACAAATAAAACAGCACCAGCCTGTCTTTCGCCCTGCCCACGGGTTCTGCCATGATATCTGCTGTATTTCCATGACCAGATTATAACTTCCTTAGGGCAGACTCCACTTCATGTCTTAATACTCTCTGCTGAGCACACAGAACTGCGCATGCCTAATCCACCTTAGAAAAGTACCTAGGGCTGAGCCCTGCTCTGAGGGTCTCAAAGCCGTCTAGGAACTGAGTGTGGTGGTACACACTTGGAATGCCAGCACTCTGGGAGGCCGACGCAGAAGGGTTATAAATTTGAATCCAGGCAATATAACTCAGCATGATCCTGTCTCCAAATATAAAATAAAGATAAAATGGGTTGGGGGATTTAGTTCAGGCAGAAGGCCCTTCAGTTCAATCTCCGGTACTAAAAAGTACAGGGGCTCTTTATTGCTACAAACAGGTGACCTAGGCATGGCAACACAGCTTTTCACTGAGAACACGGAAAGGTTTGCTGGACTCCTGATCTGATAAGCAAGAAAGAACACCACACTGGACCCAGTCCCATAAGCAATTTTCTGAGAAAAGCAAAATCAAATGTTTTGCAGATACCGGCAGAGATGGTAGTTTGCTTGTTTGTTTGTTTTTAAATGAGGAAGTCTGTCGTAAACAAAAAATCACTCTTCTAAAATGAGAGTTCACCAATTCCATTCATAGCCTTCCTTGGGTGCAAGCAGGTCTCTTGGGATTCAGTGGTTGGCTTGGTCCTGTTTCTGAAGAAGGTTAAATGAATTCTGCAGTGATAGTTTTGAGTTGCTGACAATTGGCAGGCAGTGATAACAAACTGGAGAGCTGTCAGTACTGCATCCCCATCCATCTCCTTGTGGCCCTGAGTAAAGTCACAGTTTAGCTGGCCTGGCTCCTCTCCTGGACCCAAAGCCATTTCAGAAGGATATTAGTAGATATCATTTGTTGGCTGTCATTTCCAGACTGTAGTTTAACTTGCAGGCTGCCATGGCTGGATTTTAAATTACATTTGGGTTCTGCGATATTGGACATTGCTGTTGTCACAGGCTTGAAGGAACAATGACCCTTAGTCACCCTGTCAATTATCAGCAACAAGGACCCAGTCACCAGATGGAGAAAGAGGCACAGGGATGCTGCTTCTTGGAAGGAGTCCAGAAGAACGGTGCTACACTAAACGTTTCATCAGTTGGGTTTCTCATCCTTTCAGGACCCTGCCTGGGGTCCTTCACTGTGGACAGCTGCAAACATTCCCAGTGAAATCTGGGGGGCTTCCTGCAGTGGTTCTCCAGGCACACGCGCCTGCTGGCTGAGGATCTGACCTCGGTGCTGGGACTTGGCACTGTCTTTGGGCCAAGCCAGGGGCCCACTTGTGTGGCTAACCTGTCTTTGGCTGCCCTTTTCTCCTCAGTTATGAATGTTATATAAGCTGAAAAGCAGTGAAATGCCCTTCTCCATCTACTTTCTCTGTTTCTGGACCTTCTGACCCTTGCCAGCTGATTTATTCAAGCTAGCATCAAGCAGTCGCCCTCCCCAAAGTGGCAGGACTCACTTCTTCCCACGGTGTGACCTTCATATTGTACTGTTTTGCTCTTGCCACTGTCGTCATCTCTCTCCTTCTCCTTGGTGGGGGTTGTCTGTAGTAAAAAGTGTCATTCTGAACTGGGTGTGTAGCTCAGTGATGGAATATTTGCCTAACATGTATAAGGTCATGAGTTTGAACCCTAGAACTACAAAAAAAAAAAAAAAAAGTGTCACCTTCATCCAGGTGGGAATCCGCTTGGGATTAGTAGGGTGGCCGCTACAGGTATTTAGGACATAAATGCAGGCCCAGTGCAGAAATTCCCAAAGTCTAGGTTAAAAAAAACAGCCCTGGACTTTTGCTAGCACTTCTCTAAGGAAAATGCTTGGAAAAGGCGACATGTAGTCTAGATCTACTGAAGTTGGAAAGTCTCAGGTAACAAAAGCTAAGCTTAGGTAGATAGATATTCAGGGCCAATTGTGTGTATTACAGATTGGTTTGCTAACTCTTCATTTTATAGATAACAAACAGAGGCTTCCAGAGAATGAATTCAGTCAATGGCAGAAAGAGTTGAGTCTAAGTTCTCTGCCTCCAGAGCCCGTGTATATTTTCTCTCCGCACGTAAGATTTTGAATCTCCGAGCTGAAAGAACACTGTAAGAGCACAGTAAATTATCCTCATATGGGAAAACAAGGCCAGACAGGTGGTCCAGAGCCCATTAGTGCTAAACTGGGCCTGAAATCCAGGCTCCCACCAGCACCTTTAAAATGAGTATCTTGTGTATTAAACTTGACAAGCTGACACAGGAACACAAAAGAACCAGCTTGCATGATGGAAGCTCTCCTGTGCACTAGAGACATACCAGGCCTTTACCTATATAAATATTTCACACCAGCCAAATAGCCCTACCTTCAAGAGGCAAGGAAACTCAGGCCGAAAGAGGCTAGGGTGTTAGTAACAGCAGGTTTGGGCTTTGTATACAGGTTTTCCTGACTTTTTCCACTTACTACATTCTACCTTCAGATACTGGGGTTACCCTAGGAACCTGAAGTATGTGGCTGCACTGTGGTTTTGCGGAGTACTCGGAGAATTTTCAGTACCTTGCCCTGCAAGTCTCCGCCAGTGCAGTCTCCTCACCATGTCATTTCCTTTTTGGCCAACTGTGGCACCTTCAGCCACTGCACCACAAAACAAAGCCAGGAGGAGGAGGAGTCTGAGCTCAAGGGAAAATTAAAACCAGCTCTAATTGAAATGTAGAAGGGAAAGTCCTTTGGAAGCAGAACAGCCATCTCTGCAAGCAGAGCCCAGTTTTTCTGTGGTTACCCCTTGCAGTGGGAACCCTCTGATCCATCATCAACACAGAATGTGGAACTGCAGCTGTTCACTGCCAACCCTATGTGGCCCTTTGATGTTCCATCTGGGCAGAGGCCTGGGGTGTAAGTGCTCTGCCTCTCCAGACCTAGTATGGATGAGTTTCTAGGACTTAATTTCAGTAAGCCCATGTGGCAGTCACAACTCAGACTTCCCCTCTAATACATGGTAGCCCTGGGTATCAGCCAATCCATGAGGGGCATACGCAGAACCTGCTGCCTCATTACTAATCCTGCAAGTGGGTGTGGCCCTTGGATTTGGCCCCTGTTCCTCACATAGCATGTGTTGGCAGCACCTGCTCCAGGGTCTGGGTCTTTCTTCTCTGGGCAAAAGGTGAGATCGGCTGTCAGCAGGAGGGCTGCTGTCCCTCAGGGGTGCTTCTGTGTGGAGCCACACTTCAGATGGGAGTGAGGAGCATGACTCAGTGTTTAATAGAGGGTACAGAAGAGCTGTGAGAGGTTCCAGTCCAAGCTGCATTTAGGTCTATTCAGAGCGTGGGCAGTTTTCTATTGTAAATCATAGGAATGATTCACAATAGATCCCAGGTAAATCATGCAAATCTGCCGCAAAGTGGAGTATTTGCCACAAATAGGCTTTGAAGGGGTGTTGGTGATGAGTGAAGTACTGTTTGTGCACTGTGAGATCCAGGAGTCCTTGAATATAGTGTATTTATGGGTGATACATTTTCACAGAGGCCTTTGCTTTCAAGAATCTCACTATCTTCCCTGAAAAATCCTGGTCTTGTAAATGCTTACAAGAATCACCCAAGGCTAGCAGGGGAATGAAGAGGTCCAGAAGTTTTTCTTCTACTCTCAATTTTGGAGGCTACCTCAGCTGTGGCCACAGCCACCAGGAGCTTGGAACAGGCTTGTTCATTCATTGCTTCCAGGCCTCCTACCACTTTGCAGGGGGAATTGAGAAGGCCAATTTAACTGAATTGATCTCCACTTCCAGAGCTGTGGTTACTCCTGCAAGAGCCTATTTAAAGTTCCTGAGCTATACAGAGATAACCAAATTTAAAAAGCACAGTGTAAGGCAATATGTGATGATCAGCTTGCTTTGGGAACCTTCAATATAAAATGAATACAACCGAAAGACTGAAAGGTATTGGTCCATAAGTCTCACTGAGGTCGGAGGACTAAAATCCTTTTTTAAAAAAACTTCAGGAACAAAATTTTAGAAAACACACCCACATATTGCTATCAACTCAGATAAATGTGAGTTCCTATTTAACATTATATTAATATTGTTAACCTAGTTTAAATTCTTATGGCACAGCAAGAGTCTTACATACTTACAAGATTTTTTTAATGCATGTGATTTAAACTCATTCTCTTACTTAAAATAGATGTATATTAACTCTCCGTTTAGTCTACAGGACCTCCTAGCTAAGTATAACAACCCAGCAAAATAAGAGTGTATACAAACTCTGTAATTTACTCACAGGCATAAATGGATATATAAATGTAAAAATGTGCACAATACTTTATGCCATGCTTAGCTTCATTGTGACCTAATGTTTATAATATGTAAATAATGGCTTCCTTCTAAAGCAAAGAACTTTTAATATACAGATTCATCAGAAAGTCCATTTTCATTAACATAAACAGAAATAAAAAGCAAAAAGTATTCTTTTGCAATAAATAAATATCCAGTGACAAAGGTTACCATTGAAGGGATTAAAAATGACAGAAGTCAACAGAAAACTTTTAATATCACACTTCTACTTTAATATGAAGATATTGTTATCAAAGGAAAAGACTCAAGAAATTCTTTGATAAAAATAATCTCACGCTATCTTTGAAGCAGTTTCATTTATTTCACTACCCACTGTGCTCCTTATCAGAGGGCCAGGGGTAAGAAGTTTCCTAGCTATGATTAGGAAAGAGTCTGATAGATCAGAAGACCCAATTGAAGTTGGACATAATAAGTATTAAAGTATTACATGACATTAATCCTGCCATTCCCTTACTCTCTCCCTCCTCGTTCACAGACTAATTATTCTGTAGCCAGTGTTCAGGAGAAAATAGAAACATACTCACCGTGGGCTGCAGTAATCGCTTTATTGCATCAACAAGGCTGGCTCTGTACTGGTCCAGAAACAGGCTGACATTGAGAGAAGAGCAGAAGCCAGATTAAACTGGGTTTTCAAGTCTTAACAATACTAATAATGGTGATAAATGCAAGCTTAATTACATATATTTATGCAACACTAAAAATAAGAAGTGTTTCCTTCCATTCAAGTGTCTCATGGGAGGAAAAAAAATTTGAAATATAAGATATCCTGGTCAGTGTTATCTGACTACAGCCATCCTCCAGGATTCACATGTAACTGGGCCACACGTTAATGCTCAAGGTCAGCTTCTAAACTGCCGGTTGCAGGTGTCATCTGATGGAGGTGAACACCCGGCACTTCCCCTTGTTTGAGCTTAGCCTGGGCCCTTTGCTCACCCAGGGGATGGTGAGGCGGCACTCAAACCACTGCACTGATATCAGCGGGTAAGGCTCTTCATGATGAGGGACAGAATATAGCTCATATTCAGCCAGTAACCTAGGAGTGAAGGGTCTCCAAGAGAGCTGAGCCAGTCTGTCCCAGAGACCACGGTGTCATGGAGGGCCCTTGACCTCCATGTTATCCTTTTCCAGTTCTCTATGACTTATCATTTTTCTCCTCTGATCTTCTGGCTATTTCTGCTGTTGCCACCACCCCTTTGTTGGGTCAGTCTGACCCTGTCTTTGCTAGGCTTTATCCTGGAAGCTCGTGACAGTTTTCCTTTATCTGAACTTGCAGGCTCCAGACTTGAATTTGGGTTGCTTGGCAGTAGGGCAAGTTAGTTAACTTGGTCCTGCCCAGTGCAATGGTTTGAATGTGTCATTGCCTTGCATAATTCATGTGTTAGAAACATGGTCCCTGATGCTTCAGTGTTGGGAGGTGGGGAATTTGGTGCCTTTTTACCCCTCTGCCTTCTGCCCTATGAGAATACAGAATTCCTCCCTTCTGGAAGATTCAGCATTCAAGTTATCAACTTGGAAGGAGAGATCATGCCCTCACCAGACTCTGAGGCTGCAAACACCCTGACCTTGGAATTCTCAGACTCCAGAACTGTGAGCAGTACATTTCTGCTCCCTCTAACTTATATTTTAAGTGTATCCTAATAACACAAGATGAGCTAAGACATTATCATTTATGAACACCAAGGAAAGGTTTCGGTGGAGGAGGTTTCAGGGTGGTGGAAGCATCCAGTACTGAAGGCACATAGAGCAGAGCATCCGTGTGGCTCCCGGTGTCTGGGGAGGCTCCTGAGCAAGTACGGCTGATGTGCTCCACTGAGGAGAAGCAAAGCTGTTGAAATCTGCAGTGACACCCACCAAAGGAAACTACCCCTATTTTTTTTTCTGGATTCCATATTGGGATTTATGATCTGATAGCATGAACTTTGAAATTCAGAAAATATAGCTGAATCTTTGAAATCTGAACAGTCTGGAACATCCAGGATGTCTGATGCCCAAAATCATGGGATTCCAGCTGAAACAGTAGAGAGAGAAGAGAGGAGAGAGCACTGAGCTTGTCCTTGTGGAAGTTACAATATAAGAGGGAGGTGAGCAAGATACCATTATGCACAGATTAAGTACAAATGCTAAAGATAACAAATTTTTAGCAGAACTGCTCTAAGTGGAATATGAGTACCAGGTCCTTCTAAGAGTTTTCATGGACTGGTTCATTCATTGCTTTGAGGTAGTTGGTACTGTTGCTGATTTTGCCCACATTTCATAGCTAAGGTAACTGTGGCACAGAGAGGTTCAGAGTCACACAGCTGCTAACTGGTAGGGCTGGGATTCACACCTACACCAGGTGGCACTGGGGTCTACGCACTGCACCATTGCTTCACACAACCTCTCTATCTAACTCCATTACTCCTGAGCATGGAGCCATGCATGGAAGAGGGACTAGCCTGGGTGAGGGGAGAGTGGGTCCTCCGAGGGTTACACACGGTTGGCTAGAAAGCCACTCCCTCTTTATTACTGAGCTCAGTACAGGAAGCAGAACATTTGGAGATTCCCCTTCCAGCTTCCTGTGTTCCACAGGTGCCCTCCTGTCCAGGCTCTCAACTTCTCCAAGGCAGGGAACATCTCGTTTCTTTGCCTCATTCATAACATTTGGAAAGATGTAGTTACCATGGTCTAAAAGCCTGACGGACTCCCAAGGAAGAACCCCAATGCTAGGGAAGTAGGAGTAGGATAAAGGCGTGTAGCCTGAGGAGTGGATGATGCAGGCCTGTGGCTTCTGGCCCATTGCTTCTAAGTTGTGTGTTTGCAAAGCAAAGATAAAGAGAACTGTTCTACTGTGTAAAAATTGATGTGGATGTTTAAAAATCATGGGTAGCAGAGATACCTTTCAAAAGGCATCTTAACTCAGAACCTAAACCCAATTTGTTTTTTGGAATGGAATGTGAAAAACTCCCATTCATATCTTAGATTTTCCCTCTTACAGTGAGTGGGTTTCTTACTCGCCAACTGGAGCCCGCAGCAAATCTGTGCATTAGCCAACTCCTGAGGGCCCTAAGCAAGATCCTTATTCCATTCTGCTTGCAGTACATCAGCGCCTTCTCGGGCCTCCCTCCTCCTCACACAGCACAATAATTGCTACCTGCTCCATGCCCAGCCTTATTCTGCTGTGGGCTAACAGTGAGGATGGGCAGTTGGCAGGAGGGCTGCTGTCCTCCCTCAGAGAGAGCTACTGTGTGGGGCCACATTTCAGATGGTGGCAGTGTGGCTCAGTGTTAGTAGAGCTCTGGCTTTGACTTTTCTGCTTTGTGACCCTGGCCAAGTCACTTTATGTAAGGCCTCAGTTTCCTTGTCAAGAAAAATCCACCTATGTGGCTATGCTGGGCATCAAATTAATAATATATATTAGTTCACAAACATTGTTGATCATCTATGGTACTGGTTTAGACTTCAGGGGTAAAAGTGTGAATAGACAGAGCCCGTCCTCAAGGAGCTTCCATTCTGAACCCATGGACAGTTCCCACTGAGGCACAGCAGTGTTGATGTAGATGGTGCTAAGCAAATGCTCACTTGCCAGCTAATGACAGCATCACAGGCTTGGCAGATGTTTGTAGAGGTCATGCACTGTAATGACGCTAAACCAGGCTGTACACACCTTTAGCAGTGTTGCTGGGTGTGAGTCAATATTTGGGTAGGATGTTTCATCAGGCAGGTTCTCTTCTGCTTTGATGAGCCTATTTTTTGAGAATGAGCAGCAAGGAGACAGTTTATGAGAAGTACCCAGGAAGTCAGCACAGCACCATGAAGGCTCTTTTGGGGAAGAAGTGTTCATTCGTGAGAAGAGAATCCTTCAGCTGAGCTAGGCAGTGCACACAGGAGGGAGGGAACCTTGTCTCATGTCATCCCAGCAATCACGACAACCTGGGAACATTTTCTTATCTTTAATAAAACTACATCCTTGTTTCTCAGACTACAGAATATGTTTAGTGAAAATGCTATAAAAATTTGTTGTTATATCATAAAGCAGTGATTAACAGCCCTTAGGATTGATAAGAAAGGAATTAAATAGCAACTAAGTCTTTTAAAAAGTTTGCTCTTCAGGACTCTATATCTTATTTTCCTAGTGAGGTAATATCTTCAATTTTAATAATTAAACATTTTGATTTTGTTTTTAAAGAAGACTCTCACTGAGCCACATGTGCTGATGCATGCCTGTAGTACTAGCACTCTGGGAGGCTGAGGCAGGAAGATCACAAATTCGAGCCCAGCTTGGACAACACAGCAGCTTAGTTAGACCCCATCTTGATAAAAGGGGACTTAGTGAAACCCTACCTCAGAACAACAACAACAAAAAAAATCTTCATGTAAAGGCCCTGGGTTCAACCCCCTAGTGCTGTAAACAATTTTTTCACTGTAAAAAATTCTCTCTGCCAATGACTCAAGCCTGTAAGATACCTGGCATGTTGGGATATGCAGGGGCCAAGCAAAGGAGCTAAGAAAGGATCGCTCAGTTTCTATCTGCATCCTAAGAGCTGGTAGAGTTGTTAGAGAAAGCTGAGCAGCACCTCACCAGCCAAGCTTAAAGCATGCTCTGGGAATCGCTCTTTCTGCTGAGTGTTGGTGATGGTGACAAAGAGATTAACAGCACAGCAAAGCGCAGCTTCACACTGGACACACATCCCAAACACAGCGCAAAGGCAACAGCACCAACCCCGTTCTTCCCAATCCAACTTCCCAAGAGCAGTTCTTGTAGTTCTCTAATGGATCTTTAGCCCAAGCAAGCTCACTTCTCTACTTAGCACTGATCCAGAATTTGTAACGATTTGTAGGGTACGTCATATGAGCAATTTCAGTGTGTTTCAGTGGGAGTGATATGTAATCTCCTGAAAATTCACCCCTTAAATAAATCCTAATGGCTCAGAGAACAGCAGTAGCTTAAGTGGATCTATTTAAAAAGGCTGAGTGGGTCAGTGATGGGGATGGAGATACCATTCAACTCTCCCTTCAGTTACTGATCAAAATATGCTGACAGTCCAGTTTGCCCATTAAAATGCACACATGTGCCAGGCGCACACGCGCGCGCGCACACAGACACAGACACACACACACACACACACACACACACACACACACACCTCCGTGTCATTGCTGTGTCAGCAACACTTGCTTTGTTCCATGGATCTAAATCAGATTTTCTGACAAAAGATAGGTGTCGGGCCATTTTCATCACCTCCTTTAGAATCAGAATTGTATGCAGAGCACAGAGCATCTGTAATTACCCTCATAGGGAAATTTATTAGTGCAGAGCACAAGACCTTTCTGTCTGTTAATATCTGCAGAAAAGAAGACCCCCATGCAATGTTCATGATGAAATGTGCTAAGTTAAATTCACTGCTTTAGATTTAACTGTAAGCAGAGGATGGTTTCTTTTAATATTTATTACTGATTTGGCGGGGAGCTCAGAGTGATGTCATACCTTACTCTCCCTTAGCTCTGTGCCTTTAGTTGGGAGATCCTAGGAAATCTGTGAGTTTCCTCAGGGATGGGGTCTCCCTAAGTGTGAGGCTGAAGAGCTGTTTACATTTGGGCTAACCATCTTTTCAAATGTAAGGAGCTGTGAGTTTTGATTTAGAACTATCCATGTCTGGAAGACAAAAAAATTTCCATTTAAACACCAAACATTTTTCACCATCTAGAAAAAAGTAAAAAGGATGGAAAAAAGAGAGCGCCCACATATGCTTGCAGTACGAAGACCCTGAAAGAGGAAGCGAGGCAGGTAGACGAGCCCATGTACTTTTTCCTACTGCTTCCCAAAGTCTCAGGCTGCGGCCACACAGATGTGCTGACTGTCCCTCACACCCAGCTGCATGGGTCGACCAAGCTGTGGGTGGCAATCCGGACATGCTTTGTAACATAGAGAGAATTTTTTTTTTGAGGGTTCCAACATAAGTCATTTCCATTTTTGCAGAGCTACAATAAACTGGAGAGCTGTCAAACACCAAATGAAAGTGTTCATTGGATTTAAAAACTCTAACTTCTAGACCTTTAGATTATGTTATGATTGAACAGGAGTCTGGAAAGGCAGTTTAAAAATTAAGAATCACTCCCTATTCTAAATGCAGCAGGGGCCAGGCTGGACCACATTCCGGTAGGAAAGAATCCTTATATTAAACCCAACAAGGAACTTAACAGGCAGATTTTCCCCCACACCTGTGGTTAAATATTCTAATATTTTGATGTTTGTCAACAGCGTCCTTTTGCAGGTATGACTGTACCTTGATTTTTTCCTCTGTTTATTTCAAAGTTGACATTTTACGAATTATTTAGGAACTGTTGAACCATGAAACTATTTTTCATTGTCAAAAATGCTGAATGGTGAAATAATGACTAGCTTTCACAGTTTGACTCTTTATTTTATAATCTAGTTGAACTACTAAATTTGGAAGTGAAGTGAGCGACTGTCTCTTCTAGGAAATAAGTTATTTCTCTCGTTGCCCACAGGCTTATGAATGTTTGAATGTAAATATATGAATATATGAATGATTTAAGAACATAAACATATCACACTTGTTGTAATCATGTGCATTTTGCTTGAATCACAATGTGGGTTTGGAATAGCTTTGTGAATAGAGCTTGTTTTCATGTAAATGGGATCAAGCAGTACCACTGGTTAGCTATTCAGGGAATCAGACAATGCCACCCTTGCTGGAAATGCTTCAAATACGAATTTAATCCATGGACCTAATATTTGAACTCCGACTCTTGCTTCATGTTCCTGTGGCCTAATCCAAACGTTATTGACTGACAATGACCTCAGGATAGTGTGAGACTTACTGCGATCTATTTATGAGTGGTACCTCTTTCTGGCACTGCATATTTCAGGTTTCATCTTGGAGGTAGCATCTAGACAGAGCTTTCTTTCTTTGCCCTGTGACTTTCTAAAATGGCCTGCCTGCCGCTAGAAACAGATCCAGGAAATAGACAGCAACTCCTATGGAGAAACACCAAATCTACAGGACATAAAGGACTCATGGAATCCCATGCTTCATTGATAAACATCACTGTACTTTCTAAGTTCCTATGCAGCCCACCGGTCTCTCTGAATATGAAAAGACACCATTATCAAAGCATTTCTTTTAGAAATAATATCAGCATCGCAGTGAGAGTAGCTTAATGTTTCATATTTACAAATGGGAAATTGCAAACAGGCTGACATTCTGGCACTTGTAACACCGGGAGAAAAAAAAAACCTTAACAACAATCCATGCATAGAAAAGCCATTTATAAAATGAAGCTTGGTATATTTAGTTCATTTGGATCCATAAATTCTCACATAGTTATCGTGTGTGTGTGTGTGTGTGTCTAATAGTGCATTCTGTTATATATTTGTAATGAAAGGCTTAAACTGAGTATGTGACCCTGTTGTCAGCTAGGGAAAAAAGACTATTTTTCAAACATGTTGTGTGGCTATTTTTAACCTGAGAACATTAATCAGAGAAGAGCTTAAATCTTACTTCCTCTGCTTGTTTCTCTGCTACAAATAGGATGACATGGTGTGAGTGTCCCTAACAGCACACACGACAAAGCCAGGCTGTTCTGATATTTGTGTGAAGGGCAAACTCAACTGTAAATCTCTCGGGCAGCTCTGCCTTTCCTCGCATCATCAGAGCCCATCCGGGTGTGACCCTCATCTCAACCTTCCAGAAGCCGCTGGCCCTTGCTTCTTGCTGCTGCTCTCTGATCTGACTTCTTGCTTAATCTGATCTAATCCTGCCAGCATTATCTTCATCTGTGCAATGAAACCTGAAAGATCCTTTCTCATATTTGGTGAGGAAAGGCATTTACTAAATTACTTGCTGAAATCATATGGTGAAGCTTGAGCTCCTTATTTTTGATTAGACGAAGGGTGTGAAATTGAGGCATATTATCAATGATGAGTTAGAAATCTAGGTTGCTCCCATTTTTGGATGCAAAGAGACTAAGAGCTGTGCAAAACACTGAAAGAGCCATAAAAAACTAGAAAAATCTCAGCTAAAAAATAATAAAATGTTTTATTCCTTGAGAAGTTTTTTTCAGAAGAAAAAATAATAAAGCAGATCTAATCCTTGACTATGATAGGAAAGTGATCTATTAAAATTTACTCTAATAATAATAATAATAATAATAATGAAACAAAAAACACTACTTCCTAAAAACGTAATTTGACTCCCATCTATGAAAAAATCTTCTCTGAGTTCTGGACCTTATAACTGGACTTATCAATATGTTCAAACTTCATCAGAACCTAAACTTGTATTTTTAAATCTACAGTGCCATAATAATCATCATGATGAGACTACAATTAAGATTTTACTGTTAACACACATAATACTTGTAAATTATCCATGTTTCCCATGTATTGAAATAATTACTACCCAAGTTACAAAAACCACAAAAGAGTAGTTGAAATGATTATTAAAGTCTGATGCATATTTATCCGGCAACTTTGGATTAGACTTTCATTAATAAATAAGTAGATTGGGCTAAAGTGGAATATCTAATGTAAATTATTTTTAAAACGCAGGCACCTGACAGAGATTTGAATGTTACTATTTGCATAAGAATAAAATGTAATTTTATACTTTTGTCTTATGTATAATTAAATATTATAATTGAATACACTGAAAGTATTAGACAGTAAATACACATTTTAAGAAAGGCTATTTCCCCCAAAGCTATTCCACAGATATGTTTATTTGCTAGAGAGGATATATATATACATACACATATATCCTCTTATATCAATAGTCAGATCTCTCCTAAGAAGTAAGCTAATTGAGCTGTTTGTGTTGATAAACTCCTTTTTCTCCAGACTATTCCACTCTGAGCCATAATTATTTGCAATTTGCCTAAGTCGTCCATTTACTGATACGTCAAGCATGAAACAGAGGCAATTCCAGAAAATGGAAATGCTTCTCAAAATCAATCTTTGGGAAATAATGTGGTAGAAGTTACTGTGTGATAGAAGACTACCTTATAACTGTCACATGGAGATGAATATTAATTTGTTGAGGTTAAGGTGGCTTTGTGCTTCATTTGTTGACTTTGCTTAGCCGTCAGCAAAGCAGCACAGCCCAATTACTCCAGCAAAGCCATTTTTTCTACCAGGAGTTTTATAATTTTTTATGTACTTACCAGTCAGCACACATAACAATGTCAAAATGTCCTTCCAGTTGAGAGACATCTGTCTCATTATCCCATCGTAAAACGCTTAAGGAGAAAAAGATTTTAAAAATTATACTTAGGCTTTTTAAAAAAACTTTTGATTTTGAGTTATTAACATTTTTTGTGGCACCTGAAATTATTTAAAAGGTATATACAAATTATTTCAAAAAGGATATAATAGAAAACTAGGATGTGAGTGTCTACTGTATTTTATTTAGACTTCAAATCTATGGAAGAAAACTCTACTTAAATACAAGTCTACTTTAGCCTAAGCTTTTGCTAGTTTTTATAGGTTTTTGTAGACAAGACAGAGAGAGAAATATCTTTACCACATTCATTGGAACAATTCTGTACCCTTAACATCAATGAAGTACATTGAAATCAAAAGTATTTCTATCTGACTGGAATACAGATTTATAAAATAAGCATAGTGGAACTTAGTATGTGTCTACCTGTGTGTCATGTCAGGTACATTTTTTATTGATGAAAAGTGTAAGCTGGCAAGATAGGAGAGGAAAAAAAAGTCACTTTTCATTTGGTGTTCTCAGGCATTCTTTAAAATTTCCCCATAGTGACACTTAGTCTCCAAAGGAGGATCCCTTTTAAACCTCACATTAATAATAATAACTAATAACATGCATTTGAAAATTCTGGTTGTGTTTATAAAGCCAACCAGCAGCTTTCACTACTCTCAATTGAAAACTGTGATGATTATTAGCATGGTACGACATTACAGTATTTTGATTTTTTTCTCTCTACCATGCAAAAACTGTGATTTGCAGTGCTATTTTTTTAAAAGTAAAATTTCATTAGTGTTTCCTGTTTTGATTCTTTAGAAATAAAGCAAGAGATCACATCTACCATATCCAGTTATATTGGCTTATTTTTGGTATGTTCTTTATAACTTCTACTCCACCACGTGAAAAGTCATATGACTGAATACAAAAAAATGTGTAAGTCTAGTCAGCCCCAAAATTCTTTTCATGTACACTAATACACATCAGTGCTGGTAAATTTGAGGTGGGAAAGATTACACACATCATCACAGGAACACCTGTACAGGCTGAGTGTGTGTTGGCCACTTACTTGTGTGAGTCTTGCTTACTGAACACCTGCTTAACAGACAAAGGTCAGGCTCTTTCTGAGCCATAGGCCAACCCTTGGCAGAGGCAGCCTACCAAGCCCCACCACCGTGTACGCCCCTAATTCCAGTGTGTGACCTGTGTGTTGTGTGAGCAGACAGACTTAGAACACCAGAGATGCTTTCCCCAATGTGCGTATCTCAGTGCTCACAGGCCCTGTGACACAGGAATGCTTTATGAATTAATGTTAGCGTCATTATACTTGCTGAGGCCCAGGGGAAAGCCAGGAAACAAAGGAAACTAGAAAATTCCTGTGAAATGAACTTTGTTTATAGGTTCCTCAGAAACTCCATATACCTAGGGAGAATACGGAACAACCAAGCAGCTTTTCTGGACCTGCCAAGCTTCTGGTATCCTAGAACTTGGGCTCAGTGCACAGCGAGGCTGCTCAGCCTCTCATCAAAAACCAGAAAGACCTCCAGAGCTTCTGGGAAGCTTTCAGCTGTGAGTCACCACAGCAGCTGGAACAAGTGATCTCTGAGAAAGTGACACGCCCAGAATGGCCACATGCACTGCGACATATTCACCAGAGGCATTGTCCTCAGTCTCATGAGGCTTAATGCCATGCTGTCCCTGCAGCGGAAAGCAGGTAACTCAGGGAGAAAGTGGTGTGATCAGGGTCTACTTTAGCCTAAGGGACACATGGAGGCTTATATTTTCATTTCCTACTCTCAGGAGGTGTGTAAGTTTGGGAAATTCCTCAATTTCTCTGAGTTTGCAGTCTGATGTCATGATTCAAGGAGCTGGTCCTCTCAATGCCTCACTTCCAGTGACCTTGTCCCATGTACCAGAACGCCATATCTGACCCCTTCTTAGGGTAATGCTTAAGCTGTGGTTTCCTTGCATCCAATTTGTTGCAATACTTACACAAATTTCAATAGCAAATTAACAGAAAAATGAGATTTTAAAAAATACGAGAAAATGTACAATAGATATTGTAATAAAGAAAGGGAAAGAAAGTGCTCAAAAGGAAAGAACAACTGATATAGGGGAAAGAAGAAAAGGAAGAAAGGAAAAGATTATATGTATGTAGGTGTACATATATAAATGTGTGTATATATATATATGTATGCAAGATACATAACTATACTACTAATCTCTGTTAGTGCATCCAAAAGAACAGTTTGTGCTGTCAGTGTTTGATTGTTCGATCATTTTTCGTACCGAGGTCTTGTAACCTTAACAACTACTTCCAAGACAACAATATGCAATATATTAACTAGTGTTAATTTCCTACTATTTTTTGGAATTCTGTATCATTTCTATCCTTTTTTTCTATCTTGCTTTTTAAAATTTAAAAAAAATATGAGAAGCATAAATAAAGAGCAAAATAAAAGGTAGATAATAGGATGTAGGGAGATAGATCTTTTGCAAATGGGAAAGCGATCAAGAAATGGGGAGAGGGGAGGGAAAGGAGATGAAAATTTACCAACTTCCCACATGTATTTTGTACATGTACCAGTCCCCCGTATTATATACTACAGACATGCACTAAGGAAAAAACAACAAAGGAATTCCAACTACAAGTCCACGACTCCATGGGGACTTTGAATTTCAGAACATACCTCACCGAAGATGATGACATTCAGCTCACAGCCTGTCCCTGTCCACAGTTCCTGCCCCCCAAGGCTTCTCTGATTCAGCCGCTCCCGGATCTCCTCTACAATCCACTACTGATACCAACAGGACACGCATTGTTCCACTTCCCTAGCATGTATCTTTCTTCCTCACCTAGCTTAAACTCTATTTTAATTATCTCTTGCATGCACCCTCTACACTTTTGTCTCCTTACTTCCTCGTTTGTATTGCACCCAGCTCTTTGCTTGGTCCGTATCTGCACGTGTGCCCTGAATGTGGTGGACAAAGCACACGGCTCCCTGACTGATTCGCTTTAGGTCCAAGACAGTGAACCTCGAGAAGGTTCTTCACACCCAGCAGTTATGTTTACCTTTCCTTTGTCCACTTGCTCTTCCACTCTTTGAAATCATTAGTTTGTACCTTCTCTCTTTTCAACATGCTAACGCCACCTCCCTCATCCTTGCCTTCAGCTGATGGCCCTTTTCCTGTGTTGCTGTCAAAATCGTAGCAATCAGAACTTCACTAACTTCCCGCTACCACACCACCATTCCGACCGCATATACACGCAGGTACTCTGCCTTCCTGCCGTTATCGCACTCTGTCCACAGCCACACCTCCTCATGTGCTACATCCATCTCTTCTCATCTTCTGCAATTTCCTTTCTCTTTCCTATACTGTCAGTTCTTCTTCCTCTGAATTATTTCCCTCAGTCTTCAGCCATACAGTTATTTCCTTCCTCATGAATACCTTCTTTTGATGCCTCCTTCTCTTCCAGTTATCATTTCCTTTATCTATGTCTCCTTTGCAGCCAAATTCTACTCTCCTCCCATTCTATTTTCAATCTACTACCACAGCTTTTGTCTCCAGTTACAAAAAAACAAAAGCAACTACAAAAAAAACCCCAAAAAATGCTGCTCTTGTAAAACTCACCAAAGATCTGCATATTGCTAACATCAGCTCAGTTCTTAGCCCTCCTCTTCAACCATGAGCTCCAGATTTACATATACAATTCATTGTTTTAATATTTCCACTTGAATAATTACTATAGACAATTTAAGCTTAAAGTGTCAACATTTGAATTCCTGAACCTGTTTCCCAAATTCACTTTACACAGTCCTTTCTATCTTGTTAATGGTAATTCCAACTTTCTAGTTACTCAAACCAAAACCCATTCTGTATTACATATGCCAGAAATATGGTTAGCTCTACCTTTGAAACATATCAAAATACAACCACTTTTTTTTGTTCCCTGGTCTAAACTACCTCTGTTTCTCATCTGAATTATTGCAGGCTCTTCTAATTTGTCTCCCTGCTTTCATTTGCCACCCTACAATCTCTGTTCAAGAAAGCCTCTAGAGTGAACCTTTTAAAATGTATATCAGATTGCAAGCAGGTGGTCATGAGTTCAATCCCCGGTACCGATAACAAAAAAAAAAAAAAAAAAAAAAAAAAGAACTAAAAAAAAATGTATATCAGAGCAGGAGTTTTCTCTTTTTCCCTGTAAAGGTTCCTCTCTCTTAATTCAGCATAAAACACCAAGTCCTTACAATGACTTAGAAAGAGACCCCATACCAGTGATGGCGAACCTTTTGGAGCTTTGCATGCTACAAACAGCCCACCTGTGTCACAAGTGCCATCAGTTCACTACTGCCCTGTAAGTTCAGATGAAGTGGTATGTCATTTGAGGATAGATCATAGTAAGTTAAAGGTGTACACTATAAAATCTAAGCAATTACTAAGATAACAAAGCTGTTACAGTTAATAAACAAAAGCAATAAAATAGAATAGTATAATAAATGACTTAATCCAACAAAGTGCAGAAAAAAGATGAAAACAAAGAACAGTCGGAACCAACAGAAAGTAAATATCAAGATAATAGATTCAAATCTAACCACAATCAGTAATTTTACTACACGAAAATGGTCTAAACACCCCAATTAAAAGGCAGAGAATTGCATACAGAATAGAAAAGTTAGGCCCAGCTACACATGGCTTACAACAAATGCACTTTAAATATAAAGACACAAATGGGTTAAAAGTATAGTGTGAAAAGAAAAAATACAAATGCTAGGCAAAAGAAAGCCAGAGTGGGTGTATTAACATCAGATATAGTAAATTTCAGAGCAAAATATTGCGAGCAGTAGATTGCTTTATAATGTTAAAGGAACAATTCAAAAAGCGGATATAACAATTCTAAATGTTTGAACACTGAATAATAGAGCTCTGAATATGAAGCCCAAATGGATAGCACTACAAGGAAACATAGACAGCACACTTACAGCCATGATTTCAGTGCTCTCCTCTCAGTAATTGATTAGCCAGACG